TCTATGATTATTACGATATGCTTGTTAAGCTAGCTTTTTATTTAGATGTAAGCTTGTCCTACTAAGGGAATCATAATGGCGATTCTATCTTCTAACCAGATGATAAAATAAAATACGGACTCAGTGACCATTGATTACAAGTATATCTGCAGATAGTAAGTCGGAGTGACGTAGAAGTTAGGCACTTGTGAACAAAGTTACCGACCATATATCGGCAAATGCTTCAAGAGAAAATATTATACCGTGGAGCTTCATCAACTTCTATTTTCTCTAGTGTATGGCTTAAAGGATATATGAATACTATTTTAGCATCGCCTCTAACTAACTTGAGTAAACTTTAACTGTGATATGTATCTTCAAAATGAGAATTCAAGGATCAAGATCTCGTTCTACTTTCAAATCCTTATACTGCGAGAGAATCTGATGAAAATGATATAGCGTAAGTAAATTCATGAAGCTATAACACAAGTCCACGTCCACACGCATATTTACCGGAAAAATAACCTCACAAGCAGTGTAGAGCTCTCCTGGCTCCTTCGAGTCCGTAAAAACCACCTTTCCGCTAACAAACACAAGAATCTTCACAGATGGTTTCTCTAAGCGGTAAATTAAAGCTGGATATAGCTCTGGTTCATACTATACCAACACAAAAATGAGCATCGTGGCTAGATAGCATCGTACGGGACTCTTACCGTGCAGTGTTCACTATGTGCAAGAGCGAGCGACTCCACAAGTACTCGAAAACCAACGTCACATGTGCCCACAACGTTTTGTATCTTAAAATCAATAAGATTCACTCCAGGAAAATCCATTTTCTGTATCACAAGAGTGAACCTTCGAGCTACGTTTTTTATACCTTCCTCCGTCTCTGCGCCCGTACAGACAAGTTTGCCGTTAGCAAATAGCATTGCCGTAGCCTTCGGATTGTTAAGCTTCATTAAAATGCAATTCTTTTTCGGAACCAATTCGGAACGTCGTTGTGATTTCACCAGCAAATTTGTCAAGTCAAAGCGCATGCCCAAGTTAGCGGAGCATACGAAGTTCCTTGTAAATATACAATGTCGTCATTAAATCAATTTTATAGACTAATTAGTAGATTGAAAACCTCATCAGAAAGTCTTAATGCGGTAGCTAACACACAAAGCGTGTAGCGCACTATAACTCACTTGATATGAAGCAGCGGAACGGATGTCTTAGCTACGACTTCGTTCATGGTCACTTCTATTATCGACAATAGTATTGCGATATACACAATTCTTACATCAGGTAAGGGATACATTGCAATATTACTTTGCTCCTAATATTTAAGAAAAGTATTAACCATTTTCCTTACTTGAAATTTAAAATTAACCAACAAAATCATCTTACATGAGCTGATTAATGTAAACATTTCGACAACGAGCATTTTCAAATGTGATGACACGAAATGATGGATTGGCTTCAGCAATCTTAACAAGCCACTCTTTGCATGCTCCACATGGTGCTAGTGGATTCCGATCTAGTGGTTCACTTGCTCGCATCATTTCAATCACTGCCATATCGTCAAATGAAAACGTACGTGGCCGCTTTGGCTTTCTTGGCGACCTTAAATTGGCATTTGTGATCCTTAATTGACGCTTTCGACGAGTTTGACCTCGTTCTTTTTCAATAGCCACATCGTCATGTTGCCGTGCGTTTTGAATTGATAAAAATGTAGAATTTACTGTCAGAACTGACGAGAATGAGCTCTGCTCGGAATGTGAACGGCAGGTTTGAACGGCCGATATCTGCGCTTTGGTAGTATCGACAGTTCGATTTGTTGTAGCCGAGTCTGTTGTTTCAATCGTCTCGGCAATTGTATGAGTGTCCTGAACTCGGTCATCACTTGTCGTTGGACTTGTATTCCCACCTGCTGTAAGATTTAAACCCAAGACAGCAATCATTTTCAAAGCACGTCGAGTGAGTGTTGGATCACTGGCAAGTGCACTGCCAATGGCATTGCGTTCAGCACATAAAGAACCTGTAGGCATTGATACTTCACAATTCATACCTCGCTGCATGACAATTGTTGGACGACCACCATCAATTGCTGGTTTTTCAATCAAAAGCACTGCAAGCACTGGCTTGCGCGACTTACGCAACCAAAACCCAGCGACTTCACCTTGTCCTTCAGCTTCGAGAAACTGGTCGCGAAATTGCTGCATTTCATTGACAATCATTTGTGTCATAGCATCAGCTTCACTTGGTACTACTAACGGAGAGGCTTCAATGTTTTCAAAGGAGTGAAAATCAACATCAACCATCGATAACTTGCGTTCATGCCAAAATGTTTTTAGTTGCCAAATATGTAGGTACGATGGTCTGTACATGCGTAGAGAAGCATTTAATGCACTTAATCGCGCTGGTGGTCCATCAGCATACGCAATAGTAACGTGAAAATGCGATCTCCATGCTTCTCCACAACGATCAACTAGCGTCTCTCGATGAGCTTCAAGCAATGGTCTTAACTCTCTAGTCATAAATTGTACATTGTCATCAAATCGAAAGATATTGGAGCCGGAATGCACTTGAATCGCAGTCATCTGTGGATAATATTCATGGACAAAGAGCACAATCAATTGAGCCGTAATCTCCGTCGAATTACTACTATGCGAATGTTCCACATTACGTGGAATTCCTGCTCCACTAATGAGATACACTAATTGACGACTGCTTTCAGATTGAAACTCTTTCAACACTTGTGTCCATTTCGGTAATAGGAGCGCAACTAATGGAAAGTAAACGGCTGTAATACCAACGTGATTCCAATGTTTTTCAACAAGTTTCGTCGTCTCAATCTCTCCTCGCAATTGAAAATCTTGTAACAATTCTTTAGTACTGATGGGAATCGGATCATCGGCTAAATTAAAGCCAATCGGCGACTGAGTGTCTTGACAACGCGCTTTCCAGCTGTCTAGCAATGTTGAGTGTGATATCGCTGGCGTCTGTTCATCCAGGACACTTAATTCTACAGCTGCTAGTGTCGACTGTTTTACTTTCGTATGACGAAGCTGTTGCACGCGTTCGAGAATGTGTTGACTTGTTTGTTGGAAGAGACTAAATTTGGGGCGACCGAGCACAGACAGCGGCACAGACGCATTAACGGGCTCATGAACAGACTGGACAGTCGCGCTATTGTTGTCGCGAAGCCATGAGAGCTCAACTACGAGATCTGAATGTGAAATATTATGCACAAGGAATTCCATAGAGAGCGAGACACAGTAAGATGCCAACTGACACATGTTGTCAAGTCGCGTTAACGATGTCATCTGACTTCATACTATACTGGACTAAAACCAACTGTGTATCTAACTTAACGTCTCACTACACTTTTCATTACCATTTCGTCGTCTTCATTCGACTAAATCAGCTTGTCTTCGAACTGCATCCCAGCTTAAAAGATCCGTCAGTCGAGCAACAACGTCCTGTGCAACTTCGACACCAAATTGAATTGCAGAACCAGCTGCATAAGTTGATAAAGCACCTTGAATATCAGCCATTCGTCGTAATTGATACAACATACGTGGAGACATGGGAGTCCGACATTCCGTTGTGAGTAAACTGCGATATTCACAACTGTCACGTAGAAGACCAAGTTGGCCAATGACATGCAATGGTCCACCACATTTAAGCTTGATAGTGTGTAAACTCGGGCGTTGTTCGAGACAAACGCTTAGTAAAATCTCGTCAATGATTCTAATACCTTGTTGAACAACACGATTTGGTTGTGGTGCCGCTTTATAAATTAAATATCGCAGCTGATGGTCCCACATGCGAGATAATGGCAAGAACAATGCAACATTCTGCAATAAAGGCTTGGGCAATCGCAATGTCCTATCCATCAGACAATTATATTGAAACCGTTTCTTGTTCTGTACCGCAGGTGTCAATCGGGCACGCATTGACATATATAGCGTCGATAATCGCATCAACATGTAGCATCTTTGCCGTCGAAGATCTTCGCGCATAAGTCGAAGTTGATTTTGCACCGATATTTTCAAAAACAGATCCACATGACCACGTCGCTGAGCTGTTTCAGCCGCAGTCTTATCACGATCGTCCTTGAGAAAGATATCGGCACCAGCAGTCATCAATGCTTCGACTGCTGCCGTATGACCACGTTTTGCAGCTAGCAATAACGCTGTACTGCCTTGTCGTGTCTGTTTATTTACATTTGAACCTGATTTGATCAGTAATGTAGCGATACTTGCATGACCACGCTGTGCTGCAAGCATAAGTGCCGTCATCCCTTCATTATTCGCTGCACACGTATCAGCCCCCTTTTGAATTAAAAACTTGACAACAGCATCGCGTCCTTCCTGTGCTGCACGCATAAGTGGGGTCGTACCTTTTTTATTAGCATAATTTTGGTTTGCTCCTGTCTCGAGAAGTACAATCACAACAGGCAAATGACCAAAATGAGCGGCAGGAATAAGTGCCATATTCTTTGACTCTTCGTTTGCACCGTGTGCCAACAAGAACTTTGTCATGTCTTCCCATCCTTTTTGAGCCGCAAGTAACAAGGCATAGGTTCGTTTTTCCTAAGAAAAAGAAAATTAACAACGTGTCATTGAATATAAAAAAGCTGATCAAATTCACAAGACATTGGGAACAACGTACGGTCTTAAAATTGACGTCAGCACCAGCATCAAGTAGCATATTGCAAAAGACGCAATCATTACCTCGCACTCCAATCATAAGCAATGTTAAGCCCGTTTCATCTTCTGCTGTTAATAATCTTGGAAGTAACTCGTCAGCATTTCGAGCTTTTCGAACAGTACGCATACCCTTGCGAAGTTGTTGTGTCTTCTGTTCTCTTGCCATATTAAACAAAAATGTGACGACATCGTCGTAAACAAGCTCGAGAGCAAGAGAACTGTCATTAGTGCCCACGATTGTGTCAATTTTAGTCATAGAAAGTTGTTGTAATTCTTCGTCATCAGTAGTCGACTCTTCAGCAGCTACAGCTACAGCCATTGGCATTGGCTCTTCCACAGATACGACGCTACTAAGTGCCTCTAACGCACCAACAGCAGCTGAAAGTGCCTCGACAGAGGTTGAATCAATCACTTCTTGAGCGTCAAGTCTTCCACGTGCTAATTGTAGAAAAGACGACATATCAAGTCGACCACGATGATCAGGCTCGTCCGGCATGACAACAATTGGTGTCGTCGCAGTCTCTTCGTCAGCACGAAGACGTGCACGTTTTCGTGGTGGTGATAGTCCTTCGCTCATCGAGAACCAATTGGTAAGTAATTTAGACGAAGGACTTTAAGAGTCTGGGGGGTAGTAAAGCGTGGATACGTCACACGTTACTCTAGTTCTTTCGTCGCTTTTTTGGCTCTGACATTCTTTCTTTTTTTGGAAAAAAAGGAATTCAAGAATTTCGATTTTGAGACATTAGAACTTTTTTCGCAGATCGCGTCTACGCATGTTATAATATAGACCAATGCGATGGTCGCTATATGGATTATTAAACCAATGAAAGGGCCGATGAGTTAGGTTACTTCATTTCTATTGCGTGCTGTGGAATTCAACGACTCTAACGCGCATGTTTGAAGTTTTAAGCATTGGTGAATTGTCAATGTTCAAGAAGGCAAAACGCATTAAATTTATGAAAAATTAGATAAAATTTACAGCTGTACAGAGAAACCTCTGCTGCCGGATAAGACAGGTTATACAGTCTTACAGTGTGCTTATCCTATACCTATCAACTAGTAAACAATATACGATAGCTTTTTGGATAAATCTAATCCACCTCACACCTTTGATGGAGCAGAACTCGCGAACAAGAGGATCACACTACGTTTTTTCATTACGGTAATATGCACCCGCATCTTGTACGCTCCAGTTTTCAATAAAACAGAGAGGTACAACGGATGAGCCGTACGAGCATTCAAAGCATGCTGTGCTTCAAGGGCGTGCCAACGCTTCACATGCGTGGAGTGGACGATATATTGTACATGTTGTGCTTGTAACAAGAGACATACATCATCTGACCTAGGAGAAGAATGCTTTGACGGGGTTGCCGCGCACTTTGCACATAGCATGCCAAACCTGCTGACGTATAAAACTCCGCACGTGCTCACTGTTTAATTTGCACTCGAATGGTGGGTGCCTTGACTCGGGAATCCGCTTTAACAAACACACAGAGGTTCGATCGTGCGCTTTATAAGAAGCAAAACTAAGAGCATTCTATAGCAATGAGTGCTCTGCTATTTCAGAAGATATCTGTTTTGAATTGATTCCAGGTATACTGATGCTAGATGCATACTTTTACTAATTTTCATGGACAAATTGTTTTTCATTTTTTCGTGCGGGCGACCAGCACCCTCGGATCCCTCCTTTTTCGGATCTCACTATATAATTACACCAAATGAATTGTAGATTTCGTATGATTGTACCAAATGTATAGGGTGAAGTACACGAAATTGCGGTACTTGCCTCGTTACAGACTCAGACGATTGCTGTTATGCCGAATGAGCCCATTTAGAACGTTGAAGAATCCGCTTAAGATATGAATCGTATGAAAGCGAGCCGGAACAGATTATCAGCGTGCAATAGTTTTGGACAACACGTTTAGTCAAAAGGAACTTTATGCCTTACTCAGAGAAGGATTGTGTGATGATTCGTCCGGGGACAATTGAGGCGCTTTCGGTAGACAACGCTTTTACTAGTACGGCTTCAAGCTGAATAATAAATTAAGGCCGAGGGGAGCAACGGTCCATCATCCCTGAGGCATCCAATAATCGATTAAGCTGTATAACGCGCTGAAGTAGTAGTAACCGTATGCGAAAAGGATCGATGGTTGTCTTGACGCTCCCGAAGCAAACGCTAGTGATGAGAAAGTGAAAATTGAAATGTCGTAATACAAAAACGTTAATTAGTCGCACACGGCGGGGAAAAGCTCGCCGAATTTTGTGGTGTCAAGAAGCGTGACGAAACCGGTCGATTCATTCCCATTGGTGGTTCAATTACGAGAACGAAAAGTACGAATTTTTTTGAGACGTACTCCGATATGGCGAACATGCTTAATTCCTTTTTATTCGGTGAGGATCACGACAAGCTCGTTGCAATACTTTTGATTCATACGAATGTTATATTTCTACAGCAATGAGCAGAAAACAATACGCAATTAAATAATATCGATAACTTTAACGTTCTCCAAAGGTACTACTGCCACCTCATGACTCGTCTACGCACACAATGATATCATCATAATCATGTCACTTCACGCAAATGCTAAAAAGGCTTAGGCCTGGGCTTAGTCATATTCACATTTCTTTCCCGCAAAACCTGGACGTGTTAGTCCCGAACACAATGGCCAGCATATCTACGAGCTGACTCGCGTGTATAAGGCTGATAGAAACGGTCTTGATTGTCATTCTCTTTCTCGCGAGATGATGCCTGATGTCCGATCCTATTACCCGGTATAGCAACTAGTGATTTACGCCCTGCCTTTGTCCACTGATTGGCAATCCCGATCTGCGTCGTATCTAGTCTATGGCTTTTAACGTCACACACGTCTCCAGTACCTATTGTGCATGTAAGCTCAGCATCATGCACTCTGGTTCTGATAAGCTCATCGCCACTGTCCCTTGAATATTCGACTTCTACTGGAGTGACACCAGATTCTCATGCCCGATACGCAGTGCCTGTGTTGATGTTGCTTTCCTAGTCAAGGTTCGTGAACTCTCGAGCCATCGTAATACTGGGCTCTTTCGCGCAAATGACTCGTATGATTACTGTAGTCACCGAAGCACACGATTTACAGGTTGTCCAGTGCTGTTCTATGGGGTCATCGAGAAATGTTCGTGATTTCGTTACCACGTTTGCAATGTCTGCTATGATTTCGGTGCAGCGGCACTACCGCGCACTTTGCGCTAATGAAGTTTGGAATCATTGTGTCCGCATTTTGACCGCACATAGCTGTGTTTTATGCCCGCTAAGAGCGTATCTACCATGCCGTGTGGTTGCCTCTGCTTTTTAAAAGCTACTACTTAAGTACATTTCTCTATCGTTCATAATATAAATTGTAGATTCTCTCGGCCGTGCGGCTAGCAGCCATGTGTACCACGGACCCCTTTGTTTTGGTGTTCCATCAAACTCATAGATTCCAATGCTCTGGTACTTTTGAATAATCACGCTTTATAAAAGTGCAATGTGAATTTCGCACACCTGTATCATCTGTAAATGATACAAAAGTTCCAACTATGTGAGGGTTTAGAGCTTACGATTATTACACTTGCCTTGTTATAATTTTTCCAATAGGTTGTGGACATATTGTTTCCTTAAACGCTGCGATAAAGTGATCGCTCCAGGAGCAACCACTACTCCTGGATATCCACTTCACTCTCTGCTTTATACTAAGCCTGTTCTTTATGCATAGAAGTCTACTTCCAAATCAAATGGATCATAGAGTACTGATTGAAGAGAAGTGTACGCTTAAGTATAATTCTGGCAAGGATACAAAGATATTCTTCAATGCGAATAGTTTCAGTGACTCTCCGAGTGCCTACGATACACCTACGCTCTTACTTTGCGATATATGACCTAGCCGTTCCACAGATAGGAGACACCCTTTGTGCGCACCAGAGGCAATGGACCTTGGTCATGCTGAGGAAGAATCAAATACTTAGTTGCTGATGAATTTTTGCGGTTTCAGCAGAACTTAATCTTCGTAAGTACAAACCACCTGCTTTTTTGTGTACACCCTTTGATCTCAGCTGAGAGGTACGAAGGGTCAAGCATTCAAGTAAAAAAGGGCGACAAATTTCTCGTAGGGGGATATTGTGCTAAAGTAGGTGCATGGGTAATTGCCGGCAAGGAACTGTCGTTTTGTAGCCCACAAAGATCGTGGTCGATGAGAACCAACTCTCAAAAGAAATGGCTTATTTAAAGTGGGGTGGGATATACAGTTTAGGATTTTTGGCTGTGCTATCAACATGTGTTGCCAGAAAAGGCCTCAATTGGTTCAAGAAAGCTGTGCGATTACGTCCAATGCGCGACAGTCGATGAGTATATAGGTTGCGAAGGCAGTGAAGTTGTCAAATTTGGACAAAATTTCATTGCTTCTTTCATTGAGGACATTGGAAAAAGTGTCGAATGTTATCTTGGTTTTTATGTAAAGTCTAAAAATTAGGTCCTGGACCTAAATTTCGGCATGCTATTTTATTCTAAGCATCGCATGACTGGAGCGCCACAACTACGATTAAACTAACGGTAATGAAGCATAGTGTCACGTGCTTCTTTCCTGACGGATCACCGGAGAGTCATGAACCACTTGTGCCAGGAAACAAACGCTCTTTTCGCGAGTCACATAGCTGCAATCGATTCTGTACAGGAAATTGAATTGTCGTAGAATGGTACCAAGGGTTCTGTTTGATGCCTTAAGCTGATATCGGAAGGTAGTTGCGGCAGTAAGCTGTGGTTTCAGGGTAGGGCGGTACAGAGCGATTGTATATCGCAGTCTCCAGATTGTAATTTGTTGAAAAAAGAAATAACCACTAGATGTTATGGCTCTCAAAATGCATCACCTGCGAAACTGTAACGAGCACCTATGGCTGTCGTCTTTGGCAGATAGTGGAAGGACTGAAGGTCTTAATCTCCCGTATCAGAGTCGTTGGGACTGAGAGACAACTATTTGTCCAGACTTAGGCTCTGAAAAATAAAATGATAGTAAATACTTGTCACGATGTGACAGTATCGCTGATTCAGTTTTACTGCGTGACGGTGACGCAGTAAAGTTCCACGTGTATGTGGCGAGAACGATTAAAAACACTGGCTGCAGGAATCGGGGTACTTTTAAGGGTTAAAAGATCCCCCTACTACCTCCAGCATAATTTTCTATAGAGCTGAAAGAATTATCCGGCAGGGATATGCGCAAACTATTGCAAGACGGTGAGGTCACCAAAATGGTACGATTCGTGATTGGAATAGGAGCTGAGCTTGTTACTCGTAGTCGTTAAGTTAAGCTATTGAATACATTTGCAGGGTATATAGTGCGACAGTTATCTCCCACAAGAGTTTACTTGTATTAATCTTTGTTGGAAAAATATCACGTCGGGGTAACGAGAGAACTACCACGCACATTATACGAGATACGGGGTTGCGTCATAGAAAGTGACCTAGTTTTTAATGCTACGAGCAATAGCGTGGCCGGCGATGATACAGCAATAATTTCCCTGCATGGCTTGCCAGTAGTTATTGTACCAGAGAGCGACCCGTCCGTAAGAGCTAGGTTCTGGCAAACATTGCTTAAGATTTACCAGCACCATATTTAACATGCCAACCGAAGACTATTCGCAAACATATGCTTAGAAAGAACGCGAATTCACGTTCCGAAAAATTTTCATCAACCTCTGCGCAAAGAGACTGCTTATTCATTATTTGCGGTCTTAAAGACTAGGTTGCGATCGCGCTACATCGGACAGCTCACAGTCATAGCAAAATGGGATTGATTTATACTCTGAATATCTCAAAGCAATTGCGAAATCACTTAATTTTCTTTGCGGGCTTACTGAAGATATAACTTTATTCTGCTCTAAGGAGCCAGTTGAGACTCGTGCGGCAGGGGAGAGACTGGGCACGATGACGTTACTACTTGGGGAACGGCTAAGCCGTGTATAGCTGAATGATGGCGGATGTGTCTCGAGGAGTCAAGGAGACCGATCTCATTGGAGATCACCTCGGCATCCTCACTGAGAATGTATTTTACCCTCACAAAAAGCGTGCTTTTAGTAAGGCTCGCCGAGCCATCTGAACTGCGGTCACGTTGGTAGTGTGCTAAGAAGGCAAAACAAAGTTTGAACCCAGGTAGTTTACGTCTCAGAGGGTTGTGAGTAAATTGTAATCTTATGGTTTTGACCCTTGCACTATAAATGCAATACACTAGGCTACAATTTCATGTAATACACATTACACTAGGTAATATTCTGAATTTATAAGCACTGAAACATCGTTATTTCGATTACGAATTTCCGTCGAATGCTAGCCGCACGTTGAGAAATTCGTATATTATCAAAGATAATATACGATAATTTCTGACAAGAATCCTGAATGTATATTACCAATACCTATCTGGCCTCGGTGTTACTTCAAAAACGTTATGTCAATGATGTTGAAATACTGATCACACATCTTGAATAGCTCTCGTATGCGAAAACTGATGAACGACAACAAACAGCATTTACTTGATCTAAATGCACGATACAAGTGAACTTAACGGCACAAGATACGACCTGTGTAATGTGTACAAAACACCTAGCATTCATACCATCTCAATGAGCATTATTGGTTGCAGTCTCTCTTCGAATGATCTTTTTTACTCAAAGGTCGCTGTCGCCACTTCTTGGTTTTTGGAGTCACCTTCTTAGTCTGAGCGTCAATTTTCGTTTCGACACATGCCTTTGATGACACTGTCACGCTTTCCGCAATATCTACGCGACGCACAAGGTTCTCTACCACCACTTCAGCTTTTGCATCGCCATTTGTTTTCTTTTTCGCTCGACGTATGGGATTGTTGCTACTGTTTCGTTTGGAAATTTTTTTTTCGGTCTCACCGTTAGTGTGTAAAGCTCCATTCTTCAATTCCTGTATGTGACGTCGACTACTCTTTTTTGCAGGTTCGCTTGAACGGGGCTCACTTAAATTTAGGGAGAGAATATGGCGTTGAACATGTTCTAGTCGTACTCTGTTTTCCCCTCTACTGCAACCTTCGTCGTCGTTTATTGGACACTTACTCGTTGCATGCTCTGGTGACAGACAGTTCTGACACGGTGGAGTTGCAAATAAAGCTTGATGATGAACCCATACTCGACTCACACGCCCATCAGACGTCGTCCAGTCAATTCGAGTTCTTCGAGACAACGCACGCGGACATTGTAGTGCCTTTGTTGACAGCTCGACTTTCCATCGCTTATTTCCGTTGCCATCAGCAACACTTTCAGATGAATCTACCTCTTTCACATCGATAACTCGAAAGGATTTTTTAAATCTTCTAAAAATCAATTCAATCGTTTTTCTTGTCAAATCTTCGTCAGCACTCTGTAGGACTAGCATGTAGGATCGTTGAGGATTCATCTCTTGCTGCCGAGTCTCTCTTGTCTGCTTTCCGATAATACCCAGGTTTTCCCGTATTGTAACCTTACGTGCCCTTGCAACCTCTTTCTTCTGAGGTTGTTGTACATTACTCGATTTTTCAACAGCGTTTTCGACAGTACAAACTTCATTTAGAAAGCTTGCACCACGCTCTAGCATTTCATGCGCCCGACGAAACTCGCGAATGATTTTTTCTTGTCCCTTGAATTGCAACACACAGCCAAGATCACGTCCAGTCTCCAACGGGTCTTGGATGCTCATTCGCCACGTTTTGGACTTTCGACTTCCCCATTGTGCAAGTTTCAGCGCTAGTATTTCTGGCGATCGAATTGTCACAACACGTCGTGCAAAGTCGAATCGGGTTGCGTAGAACTCAAAGAAGCCAGCCAAAAGTGTTGTCAATGCCATGGAAGTTGAATTCGTTTCCAAGGTGCGCTTGTGGAAGGTTTGAGCGACGCTGCGATCTTCACAAAATGCAATGTTGACATCATTATATAACTCCGGTGGGATGTTAGCAGACTTCAAAAGCTGAGGGTCTTGCAAATTTGGAAGCACGTGCACGATTTGGAGATAGTAGATGCATAGTAGCACATACGAGTACGAGCTGAGAAATCCCGAGGATGCGTCGCTAATACCACGCTGCTTTGCCCAGTGCTTCACGACGAGACCAAGATTACGCGCACGCTCATCAAAAGCTGCATACGCCCGCAAAAGTGGCGTGTTACGAGTGGCCAAAACATTTTCAAAGCACAAGTCGCAATCATACTCCTGCCCCCTGCGGGTATGTAAAAATCGAATGATAGGGACACGAGCGCCGGTAATAACATGCCTGACTTTACACTTTGCTGCACGTTCAAGCGTAGCACGAAGAAGATATAGGTCTTCACTGCAGCGTCTAGCAGCAGCAATAATTGACTGAAGGCGAGCAGATTTACCGTCTGCATTGACATTCATAGTGGGCTCAACCGATCCATGATATTGAGTCAATTTCGCCACAGTAGCTTTGCAAAGGAGTCGCATCTGAGAATGAAAAAAATTAAGCTGATTACGCTGCTTCATTTGCTTGTCGCTGATTTTTTTTGACCGATCCAAAGAGTTAAGTGCCTGAGTCAATTTCTTGATGCTTTTTTGTACCAGTGTATAGAGATTTTGCAAGTGTTCGACCATTTCTGCATCTGAAGCTGGAATTTGGCTACTTTCACAAATATTTCCATCCACTAGACGTTGTAGCTGACGCTTTCCCATCGGGGGAGTTATAGCGTTGCCAACAGTTCGACCATTTGAAAGAAGACACATGTCGAGATCCGAGTGACGCGAACCAAAGTGTGTCAATGAACTACCGTATAGAATAACTTCACAATGTCGCCACTTTGTTATTTCACGACGAAGTACCATCTGAATGTCAAGTGCCACTTGCCTGCGGCGCTCTTCTTCTTCTTGATTGATACCCGAATTTTCTACAATTTGCTGCAACTCTGCTGTCCACACATCAACTGCTTCCAGGGGTCTCCTAGTTACATTCGCTCGAGACTGCGCTATTTCTGATTGTTTTAAAAATACGATGAATGATTCCACTTGTTCACATGCCAAGTCTTCAGCGAGATTTGTCTTGCTTTTTTTCAAGCGCGTTTTCTTCTTTATCGTCTTTTGATCATTCTGCAAGTTTTCAAGATGACATTTCGATGTTTCGTCTTCATTTAATGCGTCAGCCTCTTTCAATATCATCATCCAATTTCTCAACAGTGTTTCATCTTCCACCATGGCTCTGCTGAGAATTAATTCCGTAGCATTGTCGATCACTTCAGCCACCACAACACTTTCCATTCCTCCTTTCAACTTTGTATTACTTCTTTCAGCCAATTGTTTTTGCTTTCGCAGTTCTCGTCTCGATACTCGCAGCACATCACCCACGTGCTCCACAATCTTCTCAACCGACCAATTTGGATCTTCAATATCCATGTTTTCCTCATCGTCTTCCTCTTCATGAGTATCTTTGTCTAAACTTGCTTCGTCATTTTTAGAGCCCAAAGCGAGCTCTCGACGTAGTTTACGCTGCACTTTGTATAGTGCAAATAGTCGTTTTGTCGCACTTTCTGACTGCGGCGCCGTGGTATCCCCCACACCATAACATCGATTTAACAACCACTGAGCAAAGACAAGGTCACCGTTTCCAGCTTTATACCACGGAGTATCCTGGTAACAAACCAGTAAAGTGTCCATAACAGTGTTGGTATCATTTATAGAGGCAGTGGATGTCACTTTTGGCTGCCAATTCTGCGGCTTCTGCTTTCGCTGCGATGATGCAGACTGTACACTTGCATCGCTGACGATTTTACTATTTGATTTGCTACTCTTTGGTCGCAATTGGGACCGCACAGGCTTTGCAGCGGTCTCCGCCATGGACACATCCATGGTTTGAAGGGGGAGGATCTACTGAATGCGGTCAAAATGCAGATTATTGGCCAATGATAATATTTCCACCTTCAACACGGTGATGGGCTCAATCGTAAGGTCTACTAAGAACTCGCTTCGACAGTTTCAAGCTGTTAAACATTTTTCGACGCTAGACTATCTCGATCTGTAGAATCCAACTGATTGAATCTATTAATTGAGCAGCATCATTGTTCTGAGCTATTATCTCTTTACATTGTACATGTACAATTACACTTACTATCAGCTGAACTTCTTGATGACTAAACTAGTGCGTTGCAGCCAAGGCTGATACTAGTTTTCCGGATCTAATCGCACTTGATCGGGATACAGTGGGATTTCTGCGTCCTTCTGCGTTTCGCACAATTTCGCACCAATAGGCTGTCGCCGTCGGCAGCAAAGAAGCAACGGCCATAGTAGACAGCGACTCGAGACCAACAGCAAGCAGCGCTGGCGTCCACCGAGCGATATCGCCGAGCATTGTGCTGCCTCGGCCGAAGCGTTTCATTCTACCACGCTATTGACTTTGCTCTTTTCGCTACAATGTTTGCGATGAAGCGCCCGCGGCGTGCTGCTACTGAAGATTCAATGGACCCGCGGGTCATGACTGAGCGGCAGCAACTCGCCTTCCTCCTGCGCGCCACGGCACCTTCTGACACTTCAAGCAGCTCCAGTGACTCGTATTCTTCTAGTGACAGTGAGGAGGACGTGCCACCGCGCCGGCCAGTCAAACGCAGTAAAACCCGTACGCATGGAAGTCTTTCTTTTACATTCTTGAACCTGTGACGCTAAAGATTATGCATATCCTTCTATTTAATTATTTGACAGGGGGCAGTGAAAAGGAATCACCAAGTGCAACAGACACGACTCCAGTGATTTATTGCGGTCGTGGACGACCGCCAAAGAACGCGATTAAGTTACCAAAGAACACGGTGCATCCACATAGCCGTGTACCCATAAGGATGTCGCCCCGAGGCCATGAGACACGATCTACTGAACCTTTAGTCGCCACGACTATTTCTGAGAGCTGTAAAGGTAAAATTATGGCTAGTCGAGCGCTTAAGGCCGAGACTAAATTACGAGACAGGTCCATGAAACACGAGAAGAATAGTCCATCAAGCGCTAGTGATGTTGCAATGCTAAGCCGCTCAGCTGCTTCTCCATTCTGTGCACTATGTTGTGATTTGGAAGCATTTTGCGACGCACCATTGTTTTTGTGCCCAGCATGCGATCAGAAGTATCCGACACAGCAAGCGCTCGGCCGTGTGTGTATGACATAGTCTATGGTGAAAAAATCTAGTTGGGAGAAAGGTGGAAACAAAAGAGCTGAGTGCAGAAATTTAATGCGAGTGCATGGAAACGATGAACTAATTGTGTCGTGATCGGTGATGAGCTGGTGTGTGAGATAATTGAAGAGGATACATAAGCCATGGAACCACGCATTTTGGCCTACAGATGAGGTTACACTTTCGTTTCGATCGAATGGGTGCTTGAAAATGTTTCATCTTTGTCATTTTTCTGCATTGGATGATGCTGTCGTATGATTTTTACTGGCTCTGTTAAGTTGTTTGAAAAATTATATATTACTTCTCTTAAATCAATTCTATCGGTGGCCAACTATGTCATGATCACCAAATACGTCAACAAAAGCAAGATCAGCACCAGCACAATAATAACAATAAAGTTTTTCATGCCGCCCGACTGCTTAATAAGTTCTTGCGTTTGTTTTGTCACAGCTTCCAGTGCGTGTTTGGCCTTATCTGTGTCATCGCTCAGATCGTCGAGCATTCTGTTTGCGACAGCAAAAAAAAAACAGCATTCAAAAGAGTCAGTAACTCGATCCTGGAAACAAACAAGAAAATTCAACTTGTGTTTACTTGTTTTGCGTGTCAAGTTCTGTACTGATATTAAGACTCATGTCGCCAAGACGCTTGACAGCGGAGTGTAGCTCGTCCAGATTTTCGTCCTGCTTCTGACGCTCAATTTGCTGAGTGCGCCGCTGGTCAGCCACAAAATTATCATCCCCAAAATCATCAGGCTGTGCAAATGCATTAAACAAAGTCAGAGCGACGCCAAATCAGTTAAATTGGAAGCACTTGGTACTTCATTGCCTAGCTTGGCGTAGGTTGGGGGCCTTCCTGGCGCAAAACCAGGTGCCATGTTTCTGTGTCGCTCCGGAACAAAAAGCGGCTTTATGATTGGTATAATAATATTTTTACGTAAGACTAAAATATTTACTGCAAAGTAGCTATTTTGAGACAAAGTTCAAGCATATTTGAGAAAAAAAAGTACTTTCGCTTTAATCTACATACAAACAATAAATATCAATCGGAGGGTACCACCACTACACTTCACAGGTCGGTTCTGCTACTTGCATTCCATTCGCTTCCATGGGTCTTACCCTCGACTCAGTCCTTATACATTTTGAATTTGTGATCCGTTTCTGTAAGCAGAGTTGACGTAGCATGTTGTTCTTCTACATAACTCAGAAGCTTGATGTCACACAAGGGCATCTACCAAGTGTCTGCTGAGTCGGATATTTCTGATCGCAAGCGGGGCACAGGAAAAGCACATCCGAGAACGAGGACTTGTTTAGTGCATCGTAGTCGCAGCACAACGCGCAGAAAAGAGACTGTTGTCCAAAATGAACAACATCCAAATGCATTATGTCGTCCGAAGCAGATGGACTATACTTTGGTGTCTTCTCATTACTTATATCTTTCTGAATTCGCAATTTTGGCTTATCGCAAACACGCGCTTTCTTCCTCATCTTGGGTAACCGGCGAGATGGCTGATAAAGCGCTGAAGTGACATTTTTCTCTTCATCTAGACCTTGAGTCCATCCGTGCTTCTTGTTAAGGCGCAGAGACTTTTCTACTTCTCCACTCGAGCTCTCGTCGCCAGACACCGACAAACCATTGCACGCGTCGTGAGCTGTTGTGCGCAACAGAAATGCCAGCTGCTGCCGCTCCGTCATCAAATTTGGATCCACGTACGCACAACAATTTTCATTCTTGTTCTTCGCCCAATCAGCGCCTGCTTTCTGGCGCTGCGTATTGAAGCGCTTCCTATTGCGCGTTGCCATCGAGTGTGCCTTTTCAAAATGAAAAACGTCCATGTATTTTCTGTAGAATCAAAGGCTCTATTTTAACGAATCAAGAACCGAATCCTGGCACTTCAACGAGGCGCGTAGACCTTACCGCGAAGTAACCCAATCTCCTGCTTCAACGCTTCAACTTCTCTCGCCTGGAGCTTAACGAGTCGTACAAGCTTATTGCGCTCCATCATCTCACGCTCTACTAACGCTTGGTCGTCATCAAATTCATGCATTCCGCCATTTCTACTGTCATTGTCGGCAGAATTTAGCTCGCGCTCAAGCTCAGCTTGACGCGCTGTAAGTGCAGCTATCTGGGTTAATAATGCAGTATTCTGCTCGGTCGCCAGTAGTATTTTGTGCTGAAGTTTAGGATGCGTTTGCTTGATGCGACGCATTGCACGCTCACATTCAATCTCGCGCATCTTGACGCGAGTTTGCAGATTATCCACCATCGACGCATCGCAAACGCGATCTAGCACCTCAAGGTCCACAAGCTGTCCGAACTTTAGCCGCATTAGCTGCTCGCTGCGTTCTCGAGCGCGAGCAATGGCTTCATTCTGTCGACGCTTTTCCCGAGCAAGCACATTTTGCTGTTTGTGAAGATCACGAAATTTCTGCCTTAATTGCTTGTTTTCTGATTGTACAGACTCAATACGTTCTGTCAAGGCTGAAAATGCGCTTGTGGTAAACACAAGGCAATGAGTAGCTTCAGAGGGTAATATCCAGTTTGATGGAATTGACGATGAGAATTCTAGACAGCGAAGCTGCCGCGTACTTAAGGGCACGACGACGTCTAATTGATTAAATCGTGACTGCTTTTCGCTTTGAAATTGCTGAGTATCTTGCTCCACGACAGCGAGCTCCTTGTCAATTGCACGTTGTTTCGCTGTCAGACGCTCTCCCGTCTTTCGTAGCTCGTCAATGGACTTGTTCAGCTCTGTCATCGCGTCGTCCACGTCGGCTCGCTTTTCACGCAGTGTAAGTACCTTCTCATATAAGGTCAGTTCGCAACCAGGGGGACAATTGTCATCCTCTTCTTCACTGTCATCATCGTCATCTTCGTCGTAATCATCGTCTTCTTCTTCCTCGTCCTCGTCGGCTTCATCCTGTTCCTCGTTATTCGTTGCGCTTTCAGACTTCTTCCCGTCTTCTTTACTACTGTTATTTAACTTTCTCTTCGCTCGTTTTATTTTGCGTTTATAAATCTTTTGCAGTATCGCAAAACAAGGATGAGGAGAAGAAGTTGAACCAGCATTCACAAGGGTAAGAAACTCGGCTTGCAGTGCTTTCTCGTGTCGTGACCAATCGTCCAAATTCTGTTTCTTACTCATCAAAAGATCGTTCACATCGCGCATTTCAGCCAAATTGTGAGTCTTTTCGCCCTTACTCTTCTCGAGTTTGCTACTCAGCACATTCTCTTTGCTTTCGAACGATTCAAGAAGCGACAACTCGCTCTGATAAGTGAGCAATCGCAGTTCAGCTTGCTTAAACCCGACCTCAAGATCTAATTTTTCGCGGCGAAGATTCGCAATAGCTGCATCAAACGCTGTTATATTACGTTGCTGTTTGCGCTCGAGCAGCATTATTTCTTGGCGAATCATATATTCACGGATGCCGTTATCATCGTCATAGTGTCCACTAATTGAACCAGAAGATTGTGCTTTTGTCAATGGCGAAGTAGTAGCTGCTGTGGATGTAGTAGCCAACGTATATCCTTCGTCAATTTGCAAACAAAGATGCCCAATCATGATCACCTGAGCGGTTCCACTTGAAAACGACGTGTCTTTGACAGCTCGTGCGACTGCTGCGATCGATCGATCAGATATTTGAAAATGCTTCTCAGCACCTGATCGTGACATCGATTTGTTCCCGTCATTGAAATTTGACTGCACGTGTGACCTAACTTTCTTTTCACGCAAATATAGATCAATATCAGAATCGGTAACGTGGTCACGCTTCTCTGGCCACTCGCGAAGGTCAACATTGAAGTCTTTGGACAGCAAAGCTGACGATGTTTTAGCTCTGTTGCTATCCTTTGCAACCAGCATCGAGAGAAGCTTAGACCTTTGTTCTTGATCGCGATGCAATACGTCGATTAATTGCACCTTCAAGTCACGAAGCTCGAGCACTTTGGCATTGAAGCGTAAGCGAGAAGAGAACAAATCTTCTTCGAGCAAAGCCATTTGCCGTAACTTCTTGACTGCATTCACTCGCTGGTGCTCTGGAACAACGTAGTCAGCAGCAGTCTTTAATTTGTAGTCACCCATGTTGCGTTGTGCAAAAGCAATCGCAACAACATCACGGGGATCATCAGCATCGTCAGATGGTTTACTACTCTGCCATCGCGACAACTTCATTTTTCGCTCAGTGCGCAATCGTTTGCGCGCTTCAAAGCCATGTACCGACTTCGATCCATCGCTTTCATGCATTGTAATCGGACCCGAAGCCAAACCTGCTTCCTCTTTCTTTCCATCCACAGCTGGGTGCTCACGAATCGTCAGACTGCGTCGCTCGTCCTCTTTTAGTGGGAAGTCGTCCTCTAAATGTGCATTCTTTTCCAAGATACGGAGCACTGACGCTCGCTTTGATGGGTCATCTAGTCTGACAAATGACTGCTTTTTAGAAGATTCGTCAACAGCATGGATTTCAGCAAGAGATTTATGCAAACTTGCCGACAAGTTCATAGTGCGAAAAGATTGTACGCTTAATCCACTTTCAAATGCGTGCAACGTCAAAACCTCAACTGCTAACGGGCCAAGGTAAGCCTCCCGCATCTTTGAAAGCAAAAGTTTTTCTGTATCTACAGCAAGCGCAAGCGCCTTCCGCACTTCGTCGCAAGCCTCGTCACCCTGTCTTCTCAACAAATCCCCGTAATTCAGGTCGATTTCCCACTCATCGGCATCGATACGGCTGTGAAGTGGGAGTGCTGCATCTTGCGCTTGAAGCTCAACAAATTGCTTTCTCAGCTTGTTCACGACATAACGAGTGGAATCTTGTTTACTCAGTGCTGATTTTGCTCGGGCGTCTGCCTCACTTTTCAGCTTTACATCCTCAATTGTGTAAGCGTCTTTCGGATTTGCTACATCGTTCACCCGAAATTGCAGCAGAGCTGTGGCGGGTACACCACTTTTTACATTTGAGCTTTCATCATATACTATGGGCATTGCTTTGCGTATATCGTCCGTGCCGAAAACATCACTAGTTAAGCGAACGACACCACGAAATTGCTCGCTATCCTTGGCAGCCGCAACGCTAGGTGACAGCAGGTTCTCTATGAACGCAGCATAAGCTTTGGCTCCGTAAAAAGCAGGCAGAGCGCTCAGGGCTGTATTTGCCACTCGTCCGCTATCACCAGAGTCATCGTAGTTTTTATTGTCTATAGAATTCTGCTGCGTTTCCACTGCGGTCTTTTGCATTTCATGCGCGTGGTCACGAGCAGAAGCGGCATCAGCCAGCATACATTCAAACTTAAAAGCCAGCTGCTTTGACGCTTCTTCGACTTTCTCACTATGCAGACGGCAAATGCTGAGATTGCCGTCACGCCCTACAGCAAGAACGTACGCGTCGTCAAAAGAAAGCGTAAGATGCTGCTTGTTGTTGCTTGTAGAGGCTGCGTAGTCATGAAATTCTCCACTGATATAAGCATGCGGTCTTTGCGAGCTACGAATTTGAAACTTGCCATTCGATAGCCCGCACAAGATAAAACGGTTAGATGACGACAGAGCAAGCGAAGTAATTTGTCCAGCGGACTCGGACGCAAATTCTTTCAAAGGCAGAGGCTGATCGTACTGTACCACAAAGAGACTTCCATCCAGCGGTGCCTCACAGCTAAGATAGATGCAGTCTTTGGCATCATGTCGCAAAGGGCTAGATGTATCATCAGTCGGTACCACTTCGTAGAGTGCCGCCAACTGCTTTGCTGTATTCTTCGCTGCTTTGACTTCGACATAAAAGTTGTCACGAGCTTCGTCTTTCATATCAAGGGAGCTCATGCGAGAGTTTTGACCCTCTAAAATATCTAGCTCCTTAACACTCATGAAGCGATTGCGACGACGCAGAGTCCACTCACGAGAAATGAAATGAACCTCAAAGGATTCTCGTTCATCAGGAGAGCTTTTTCTTTGAGGTACGTTTTCATCGGTAGCATGCGTAGATTTATTTTTTTCCCTGTATCCTTGATCATCATTAATATTCCGGTTCAAATCATCAGGCAAAAAATATTCTAGAACCTGACCATTTGCCAGTGTAGCAAGGATAGCTGCATCATCGTCACGCCAGCACATAGCAACAACAGGCGCAGGCACACACTGGAAACCGTATGGGTCGTACTCGGGTTTACTCTTATCAATTTCAGTCAATTTACTGCTTTGAACAACGCGAAAAAGAAAAATAGTTCCATCTGTACTAGCAGTCGCAAAAGCAGAACCCGAATGAGAGAAGGTCACGCATGTCACGCGCTTGCTATGCGGCTTAAATACGTTAACAAGTACCCAGGCGTAATTATCCACGTCCATCAGCAGGACGCGAACCAATCCATCATCAAAACCCACCACTACTTGTCGACTGACAGGAAGAACGTCATTTAGAATCGCAGCACTGTTTGGCACCCATGCAATCGTGGATGCTGCCACTGAAGTATGCCCGTAATCATTAAATCGCTCAGGAAACACTACCATTATACATCGGCCAGGTTCGGATGTGTAGTCCCAAGCGCGGACACTGCCGTCCTCCCCGCAAGTAACAGCGAGATGTTCGTAAGGGGAGCATGCAATTCCCGTAGCACGTCCCGTGTCGTTAGAAATATAATTCATCTCAACATCATGCTCGTCGTTACTATATAGAAGCAATAAATGTACACTACCGTCGCTATCCTGCAACAGGTAGCGGTCAGAGGCTTCCTTAACCACAGCCCGGATATCCATGTGTGGCCTCACAAGCATTTGTCGTTTTATAGGAACAAGTGCAACAGTCTCATCAGCCGCAACGTCCGCACTGTCAATGGAATTGAAGTCCCAAAACCGCACATAACCATCCTCTCCAGCAGTCACAATATGGCCCTCGTCTTCATCAAAATCCACAACATTAATAGTGCCAGCATGAGGCAAGTGACGACGAGATGTCAATATCTCACACTTGATAAAATTTCCATCCCAGAGCAAAAGCACGCCACGTTCTGTGCCACTCAGCACTTTTTTGTCTGGTAGAACACAAAACGCTTCGATGTCACTAAGCTCACTCTTGCCAAACTTGCCAATGTCACCCTGCAATTTAAGTCCCGTAAATGTGGCTGCCATTTTCCAAAAGCGAATATGACCAACGCCACTAGTAGCAAGGAAACCACTGTCTGTTGGAGCAAATCGGACCGTGAATACATCTTGTCCAAATGCTTTACAGCGTAGCAAGATATGCTCACGACGCCAATTCCAAACAGTCAACAAGTAATCGGGGCTATTGCCTAAAGACGCCAACTTATCACCGTCCGTGCTGAATTCCACGCTAGCATAAGCGCGTTCCGTTCCATTTCGTAGCACGTGAGAAACTGTTATCTGCGGATAGCGGTAAATCGTAATATTTGGTTTCTCCCCTTTTTCACCTACTGCGAAAAACTGTCGAGATGGATGGACCGCTAAACAACCAATTCCGCTGCCACTGAAGCCAAATAAATAGCGTCGAGTTTGGACACTGGAGTCAGAGGTAGCAACCTGGAGGCTCATGTTCAGTATTTGAACAGTATTTCCGACAGCTGTCAGCAATATACCACCATGAACTCCCTCCTTTCTAGGCTCTAAAACGTGCAAAATGTGACGCTTGCACGTGTCTCGTCCAAACATGTCGGCAAAGACTAGATGGTCCCGCGATATTTCCCAGTCGAACAGTGGTCGCACAAGCTCCAGTGTCACGTCGGTGACCGTTTTTCGAAGGTCATTTTGGAAGACTTCATGCTGAATCTCAACATCTAACTCAACTTGCTGTTGTGCTTTGGAATCTCCAACACCTTTTCTAAGCATTGATGCGTCTTCCATCAAACCAGCTCAACCTTAAACCGATTGAGGGATCCGTCGCTTCAGCACAGTCGACCTTTCATGTCCAGCGAATAAATCAATCCGAAAACGACGTTAAAGCATAATCAGTTAAATCACAAATAGTGAAGAGTTTAATATTTTGCTAAATGCACTCACTGCACATCAAATAGATGTTACTAATACACAACAAGCATTTATCGCGATTTCCAGATCGCATCGTACCTAGATTGCACTTAACTGTTAAAGATGCGCGTGTACAACTGATCATGCATGGCCTGGACAAGATCTAGCAAAGGCGCCGACGAGTACGAATCTTCCACCACTCGATTCTTCTTAGCTTGGAACACAAGTTCCAAAAGCGACGTCATTTCGAACTGTAACTTTGCAGCTTCGAGTGGCCCCACGAGATTTAGCCTCGTGGCGGCGCTCAGCACATCCCGTGTGGTCACAAACAGAAACATTCGCTGCGTAGGCTCAGCCTCTACACCCAAGAGCGCGCAGACAACACCAAAAAGCACGGCGTGATGAATACCTCCGTGCTCCTTTGCATTATTTCGCATTGACACCAGCGTCTGAAATTGTGGATATTTTGGGCCATACATGAACAGTGCTAGTCTGAGAAGTGCCGCGCCTTGGGCAAACGAGGCTTTGCGCGCGACATGATTTGAGTAAAGCGCGACGGCATGTTTGTTGAGATCTAAAACTGATTCAACCAAATCACAGCTATTCTTCATCGATGTCGCTGTGATCTGATGCGCCGAAAACACAATGGGCATTGCAAAATTAGCACTCTGGTGCAGCGACGCCGAGAGGAATGTACGTAATGATGAAGCAACCACGAGTCCTTCCTGTACTGCGGCCTCCAGCCCTAATGAATGCGCAAATCCTCCCGTTGGAAAAAGCGAATCCACCATTTGCCATAGCGCCCAGTCTCCTGTGGGGGATATTATCTTGGAGCTCATTGCGGAATGCGGAATCAAGTAAAGAGATGTTGAACTTATCTTATCATGCATATGAACATTAGTAATACCAATTTCTACCAATCGTTAAGCTAGTGTCGACAGTAGCACAAAATTTCCCATAATTGATAGTGATTGACACTCATTCATTGCCATAAATTGTCGCTAGCGCTTAAGACATTCCTTGTGGCTAGACAGCAAGTCCTAGAGCATATTGCATGAGATGAACACCACAGTGAAAAGCATATCGCTGCTCCTCTTGAGAGCTGATAGTCTCCATTGACCAGGTCTTGGATACTGGACAAGATGTAGCCAGCTCGGCAGCACATCCAGTCCAGGATTCGGCTTTTCTGCAGCTGTCGCGGTTATAATTAGCTAATTTAAATCCACCACTTGCCGTTAGCTTTCTTACACCGAAAGCCAGCAAGCTGTAGAGTTTTTCACTCTCATTCACCAGTCTCACGAAAGCCAGCGTCTGCGACTCAGTTCCTACGCGTGATGCAGTGCTTGGCCTAGAATTCAAGTCGATTATATGACGCTCTACTCAGAAAGCAATACACGTGGTGGGTCTCTTGTCAGATTTTTCTAACAAAGGATAAATAGGATCCGTAGGATTCTTGATGATAACTGTCCTAGTCCTCTACTCAGTGCTCTGCCATGGTTTTCAGCAGTAGATTTTTTTGGCAAATTACGAATTATTGTTTTTTTCACCATTCGCGATTCCTTGCACAAATCCTAAGACTAGACTGTCTTGCTCATTGAGAACTTCTACCAGAGGTAGCGGGAGAGACTTACAGCCCCCGAGAATATTTCAAACACGCCATTCACAAAGAAAACTTTTCTTGTCACTTGTAAGTGGAGCTTTACTGCTCTGCACAATGGACTCATCACACGGTATATTGCTGACTCAGTAGTACCTTAACATCGTGATCAACGATAACTCGTCCTTCTTGAATGTGGGCCTGTCACTTCGACTAACCACCCTTCAGCTCTACCGGCTGTAGTACGGGAGACTGCGATACAGGGTCACTTCTGCTCTCCACACAGAAGACAACAGCTCACAACTGTGCTTTATTGTCCCACCAGAATTACTCTTTGCAGACCACTACTTTTCTTCCCGTGCTTAGTATATATATATATATAGACCGCTTGATGCAATAATGTTTTCTGTTTTGTCCTGAGAACGTGGCTCAATGCCGCTTATGCCGTCCAAGCTTTGCTGGAGGAGCTTAGCAATATCATCGATAGTCAACTCTGACAGTTTCATCTCCTGCACAGAAACCGTCGTGGTTGATTCCCTCGCAAAGTGCCCTATTGACTTTTTGTAGAGAAGGATTGCGACTGACCAAATGAGGCGCCTAATCACTTCGACTTCGGTCGATTTTTGGCTTCTGAAGCTCTAGCCACGCTATTCCCAGAATGATATAATTTATCGAATCCATGGGTATGATAAAAAATCCTTCATGCTCACTTGAAGAGCTCAAATGTCCCCACCTCAAGACAGAAGGATATCGTAGTCGTATCTGGGCTGTTCAATGCTGTATATTATCTCGGCATATCGCCACGCACCAGACTTAGAGAAGCTAGAATTATCAATCAAAATCCCAAAAGCTTGAAAGACTTAACTCAGCTTCGAGAGTACTTCAAAAGAAGATAACATGAAATGAATAACCATATTCAAGGTTTGGGTGAAGTCCTAAAGAATGTGCGCTTGTTTTGTGTTCCTCCATATATTTGTTGCAAGGTTTTGGTTGCAGTCTCATCGACCAAGCCCAATTGATGACGGTTGTGCACTGTAGTAGATTCTATGATCCACATATGACGAAATTTGGAAGAAACTGCTACAATTTAAGACATTTTAGGCGCGATTGTGCGTATGCTGTCGAGGGATGACGCCGACTCTGCCCCACTAGCCGCGCGTCGAGACCTGGTCGTGTATTAGGCACACGTTTACATCTTGTTGGTGCCTACAACTTTAACCTGATCGTAGGGTGTTATCTACAGCCTGTCAAAAAGAAATAGTCTAACCAGATGTTAAAATTAGTACCTGGAGCGCCGAGGTTCGTGTGTTTAGCACGCAAATCTTGTATTTACAACCTTTAAAAGCGTTACTCAGGGAGCGTGGCGGACACCACACATACGCTCGTCGATATGAACCATTATATGAGACTCTCTTGAGCCATTTCTAGAGATCAGCTCTAGCGTCACCTAATTATTAAGACTGCTGATTCAATGCAAAAATGAGGTGTGGTATGACAAGCGGCACACATTAGCAAAATCCTCACCCCGCCAAAAGGTTGGTAGCATGACAAAGCTCTAGCGGCGATGTCATTGAAGACACAAAGCAGCATCCAGATTTTGTATCAACAAACACGCGCACTTTCCTTTTGCACGATTTGTCTCTATAGCTGATCTTGATGTATTTCCTCAACATGCACCGTACACGTTTGCTACCTGTGAGATACAAAAACACATTTATGACTTAAGTTCTTTAGTGAACATATATGTCACATCTTGAAGGTGTCGATGATCAGCATAGCGAACTTGCAGCGGGGCTGTCGTAGCTTTGCGATTGAGGAAGCGTCTTTAGCTCACCGACCCTTCGTTCTTTACAAGAACCAAGTACTAGTGCAGCGGATCGCAATCCGCTGCCTCTAAA